TGATGATGATGATGATGTTGTTGATGATGTTGATGATGATGATGTTGTTATTGGCGATGATGATGTTGTTGATGATGATGATGTTGTTGATTATGATGTTGTTAATTATGATGTTGTTAATGATGTTGTTGATGATAATGTTGTTGTTGATGACGATGATGTTGTTGTTGATGACGATGATGTTGTTGTTGATGATGTTATTGTTGTTGCTGATGATGATGTTGTTGATGATGTTGTTGATGATGTTGTTGATGATGATGTTGTTGTTGATGACGATGATGTTGTTGATGATGATGATGTTTTTGTGATGATGATGTTGTTGTTGATGTTGATGATGTTGTTGTTATGATGATGTTATTGATGATGATGATGTTTTTATTGATGCTAATGTTGTTGTTGATGATGATGTTGATGATTGTCATAATAACGATCTTAATGTTATTGATGATAACGATTATGTTTGTAAAAGTGATGTTCATTTTATTGATGGTGGTGGATAATCATTAAATGTGACGAATTTAATGATGGTACTTTGAAAAAATAAATTTGTTTGTAATCTTCTTGCAAAAGTGATACGGTTTAAAGTATATAATAATTAATGGAAAGATCTTAACGATGACGATAATGTGATGATGATGATATGTAAATAATGATATATTGATGACAGTGATGGGTGAACTACCCCAAAAAGTAGTGAACTAACCACTGCAGTTAACGATTTGACTAAAAACATAGTTAGTAACTTCTTTTAAACTACTTTCAAGAAAAGTAGTTATTAACTACTTCATAATAGTTAACTACTTTTTAACTACTTTTAATAACTAGTATTTAAAAACCCTTCTGAAAAATTTTTGTAAATTTACTAACCAACAAATATATATTTTTTTAATAAATGTTTTTTTGAATGTGTGATTAAGATGATCTCTCAAAAAATCATTTTATTGGTATGATCATCAGACAATCTACAGCGTTTAACAGTTAGAATTTGTCCGACAACACTGAAAAGACGCTCATCCACTGCAGAGTTATGTAATGTGGAATTTTGTTTTATGAAACTTGCACATACTGATGGATAAGAAAATAAGCTTTCAATATTCTTAGATGAGTTAGCCAAGTAACTGTTGAGTTTATCAGCCAACACATGATCCGAAAAATTTTGATTATTTCCCGGTAATCATACAAATTGTCACAATTTATTCGCCAAGGTTCACTTTCTTTAGAAGCGAAGGTACAGGACTCACTGGTTTGCAATCTGCTTGTAATGTATAAATAAATAACCATTTACCAAAAAAACTTTTTTAAACAATGTGTGACTTCAAATCATTAATAAACAAAAGTTAATTTGAATATGTATTTATCAATTCCAATTAAAAAAACTATTACTGGATTGTTCAATTTCTCTGTGTATATTTTCCATATATGCCAATAATTTTTCTTTAAGAGCATTCTTTTGGTTTTCACAGGTTAGAAAGTTTGTTTTAAATTGTGGAATTAGCATAAAGGCAAACGGATACTCATCATTTTCTAAAATTTGCCCAAATCTTTTTTCTATATCATCAGTCAGTGCTTGCAATAAAGGCTGGACAGTTTTATCTGTACACAGTGAAATTTTTTTTGTTAATTCCAGTGATTGTTGGTACAATGTGACCTATATATGAATTTTCACTCTGAATGATATCCATTGCAGTTACTATCGGTTTCATGGCTTGGAGAAAAGACATCAAAAAGCTAAATTCATTTTCTGTAAATAAAGCTTGTTTTTATACTTTCTGACAACTAAAAATTTTGTCGAATCCTATGTCAACAACTCTTTCTACTGCATAAAATTCTGAACACCACCTTGTAACAGTTGGTTTAATAAATGTAGAACCAGTAATGTCTTGTACAATATCAGCATTTTTAGTACTTCGATATACAGAGTTTGACAGTGATGTCACCTTTGCTATAGTTTTATCATACAGTCTTTTGTATTGCTGATTTTCTCTTGCTTTCAGAGCATCTACACTACACTTGCTACCAGATTCAAATTGTGATTATCACATCGTTTGTGATAATCAGAATCAATTTGTTCTATCTCCATTAAATAAGTAATATCTGTTTTTAATAATATGTCATTTTGTAAATATCTTCTATGTTACTGTCACCTTCTGTAGTATTTTAAATGCTATCAGAGAAAATGCTTTTACAAAATTTGCAGTAAAATATTTATCGTCGTCTTTTTTAAAAACGGCGTCAATAAAGCACAATTTAATAATTTGAGTATTCATATTAAATAATCAATCAAACGCAAATTATCTGCATTTCGTACACAAAAAAAACTAAAAAGAAATGGCGTTGACGCGGAAACTAATAAACAAATTTGAAAATAGGGATGTGCAATTAGAAAGATAAACATTAATTCTGAGGAAAAATATGTTCAAGTAGTTAAAAAAATAGTTAACTATAATAGTTACTAATTAGTAAAAAAAAGTTAACTAGTAGTTGCCAACTATTCAAAATAAAATAGTTATTAACAACTTTTTTTAACTACTAGTTAGTAGTTATTAACTACTAGTTAACTATTTGTAGTTAGTAACTACCCATCACTGATTGATGATGATGTTGGAGTAGGAGCCGGAAGTGGGAGTCGGATAATTTCTACTCGGAGTTGAAATTGGAATTTTTGAGGGACCAGCCGTAATCCTGATTGCGACATTCAATACATCAAACACCTTTAAATGCACATGTGTTAAAGAAGCACCGAATGTTCGGCCCAGCTGACTACTCGCTCAAAATTTTACGTTCATCTTTGGCAATTTGGAATAGAGAATATGGCAGTTTTTGTTTAAACACTCAATTTTTTAGGATTTCATAATAATAATTAATTAATTATTTTAAATCATTTACACAATTTTTTATTGCAATATAGAACAAAAGCTAATGGTCTGTTTTGGTCGAAAGTGTCAACCTTCAGTAATTATTTTCCCATCTTATAGATCAACTCGTTACATCCGCACCATTCTCTTCCCTTACATCATCATCATTTGATTTCAATCAGGCCATTGTGGAAATAAAAAAATCTTATTAAAAGTTTATCGGAAGTCTGCTGCTGTTGTTTCATGACACACACACACACACACACACACACATACACCAAACACAGAAACACATGCACACACACATACATACATACATACATACACAAACACATACGCATACAAACACATACACACACAAACACACATACATACATACATACATACATACACACATTTGTAAACACATACACACACATACACACACACAAACATACACATACATATACACACACATACACACAAGGTTGTCGTTGTTAATTTTATGAATAACTTTCGATAACTTTTTGCTTGAAGGAATAATATAAAGAAAGATTTTATTCCACTAAACTTTTATTTGAGTGGAAAAACTATCAAACCATCGATCGAACAAAAGAATATTGAATGAATGAATGAATGAATGAATGAATGAATGAATGAATGAATGAATGAATGAATGAATGAACGAATGAACGAATGAACGAATGAATGAACGAACGAACGAACGAACGAATGCATAAAATGATTGATTGAATAAAATGAATGAATTTAAGTAGGAAGAAGAAAGGATGTGCAAGAAAATTCAAGTGGGATGTGGTTTGAGGTGTCAAGTATAGAGGAGTGGTGATGATGATGATGGTGGTGATGATGATGATGATGGTGGGGATGATGATGATGTTGATGAAAAAGTTAACAATCAGATGATGATGAGGAATTAAATTGGGCTTGATAGGTTGTTAACTTTCATTAAGGTTGGTGATGATGACGATGATGATGATTGTATTGATTTGATGATAATGATGATGATGATGATGATGAAGATGATGATGATGATGAGGGTTATACCATGACGGTGATGTTGGTGATGATAATCATTACAGTGGGGATTAATACGGATTTGGATGTTGGAGTTAAACTTTTTCATCTGCAACAATGATAACGAATCTAGTCACCACACACGCACTATCATCATTATCTCATTACCATCGTCGTAAAACTACATTTTCACACACACACACACACACACACACACACACATACATACACACACAGTTATATGTATGAGTATTGATGTGTATATATGCGTCTTTGTGTATGTGTGTGTGTGTATGTGTGTGTGTGTGTGTGTGTGTGTGTGTGTATGTGTGTGTATGTACATGTATGTATGAATGTATGTATGTGTAAGAATGTAAGCAGCTAGCAGGTACAGATACTTCATTCCCAACACTTTACAACAAATTTACAACCCAAAATAAATAAATAATAATAACAATAAAAATAATAAAATATTTATATCAATATTAATAATAAATAAATAAAATCAATATAAACCCCACAACCTGACCCAAATTGAAAACAACAACAATGATATTAATTATTGTTATTATTATTAAATTTATTATTAATACAACATTAAAATTTACAACAACATCAACAACAATATCGACAACAACAACGACAACAACAACGACAACAACATCAACAACATCATCAACAACAACAACATTAACAACAACAGCAACAATACCCAGAATATTACAAGTGTCAGATACGCTTTGTAAAACAACTCAATCAAGTTGAACGAGGTTGGTCTGGTTAATGGGGCGGTGATGATGATGATCACGATGATGATGATGATGTTGTTGTTGACGATGATGATGTTGTTGTTTATGATGATGATGTTGTTGTTGATGATGATCACGATCGTGATGATGATGATGACGTTATTATTGATGTGACGATCATGTTAATGTTATGTATAATGAAATTGTTGTTAATGATGATGATGGACAAAAAAGAGACAAAAGCAGATTGGAAGCATTTGAAATGAAGTGTTACCGAAATTTGTTGGGAATCAGTTGGAGGCAGAAAGTAAAAAACAAAACATCATGCTTTTTACATTTATTTTTTCTTTTTTCTTTTCATAAACTTTTTCTATCTTTGGCCAGTTTTATTAAATTTAGAATACCAATACCAGTCCAATCAGTAATGTCATCTATCCATTTCTTTGCAGATCTACCAACTTTTTCTTTAAATCTTTTTTCTTCATTAGTACCATCTTAATCAATCTACAAATAGGTCCAAAAAATCCCAATTTTCTTTATCTGACTTAGTCATATACACTTTTCTGTCTTCCAAGTTAATTTCTGATGGTTTCGTTTTTATTTTTAGTGAAAAACATTTTTTGTAACGATCTGTGTATCAACGTATGTATAAACGTATGTATGTATTGCTTTATTAATATTTGATGTAAAAATTTTGTTGAATAATTTCATGCTGACTTTGCAGATCTACCAACTTTTTCTTTAAAAGTTAGGATAAAAGAGGATAAAAACCCATTTACTAACAACTAACATGTTTTGCTAACATAATTATGTTTTTTGTTAATACTAACAACTAACACTTTAATTGTGAATTATTCACGACCAATTACATTTAAATTTGCATAATTTATTTAGAAAACTAGAAACATAATTTTATTTCCTGTTCCGGTGGCCATGCTCGATGAATTCCAATAAGAATTCTATCATGGTCAGCCCGTTTCTTATCATTAAATTTTTTTTTCATTTTATGGAGCAAATAAAATTTTGTTTCGTTTCGTATGTATGTATGTATGTATGTACGTACGTATGCATGTATGTATGTGCGAGCCCATGGTTAAAAACATAGCCATAAAAACTATTATTTCGCCCCTGCTCAACAGATAAAGTTAGTGTACACGGTCTCGAACAGAAGGGCACTTAGCAATGTTCTCTAAAATACAAAATGAATTAAACTTTTGCAACAACAACGATATATTTTGCTTTATATAAATTTTATCATTGAGATCACCGGATTTTTCAACTATTTTAGTACCTATATTATTAAAAAATAATTGTGTCTGTTCTGTTTATCAAATGTCTCCACTCAGATCGAAACGAAAACAATCGTATTGTCGTTTGGATCTTTGTACTTAGTATTCTTGAAACCAGCAGCCTTCACCGCAGCAGAACCTTGCTCCATAGCCGTGTAATTGATGCACCTTTCGGCTAACCTGTGAGGGAACGTCACATCCCATGATAAACAACAACCTTGGAACCACGGTACCAGGGTGTAACCGTCTGGCCTGAAATTGCTTTCATTAGTAGGCCTGCTGTTTTTTTAATGGCAGGTATATCTGCTTTTTGGAACAATCTGCATATGTAATCATTCATGGCAGAGTGTCTTGCTTGTCTTCCTAAACCAAGCCTACACGATAAACCATGGTGACCCAACTGAGAAACATCCGCCCCACACAAGCATCAGTAACCTGACACCACCGGTAACCCAAGTCTCAAGCATAAACTCACTCTAATAGAACCATTGTCAAGCCTTGTACCACAAGCTGTACTGGGAATGGCCAATTCACTTCTAACGGCCATCAACCTGGCTTTATCTGAGGGAGAATCATTTAATTCATCCAGTCTCGATTTTTGTATGTATGTATGTATGTATGTATGTATGTATGCATGCATGCATGCATGCATGTATGTATGTATGTATGTATGTATGTATGTATGTATGTATGTATGTATGTATGTATGTATGTATGTATGTATGTATGTATGTATGTATGTATGTATGTATGTATGTATGTATGTATGTATGTATGTATGTATGTATGTATGTATGTATGTATGTATGTATGTATGTATGTATGTATGTATGTATGTATGTATGTAGGTTTAATATGGCGACCAGGACGGTTGTAATTAATGAAGTCCTGTATTTTTTGAAAAATAAGTTCGGTTTATTTGATGATGAAAACTTTGTTAATAATGTTTCGGAATTTTACACAAATGACGACATTGTTGGAGCTTTAAAAATATTAAAAAATGAAATGGAAGTCAATAAAAGTGAAAAACACGACAAAATCATACCTCGTGGAACGACTAAAAAAGAAAGGTTACAAGATTGCATTGCTATTTTAAAACATCTAAAATTATCAGATTTGATGTCCGATTTTTGTCAGTAGTGACCTGGAAAAAATTCCAGATATGGAAAGTTTGATTAAATTAAATTTTGAAAGTTTAAAGCGAGAAATTACCGACATATTGCACAGCCAACAGCAGCACGTGCTTAATACCTTAGAGGTGCACAACAAGGAAATTTGCGCGGTAAAAAACACCGTTAATAATATAGCGCTGAACTACGATAAAACGACATATTATAATCACCACAACAAACTGCTTTCAAACTCGAATCCCTTAGGACGAAGTAGCAAAATGCATCATTGTAGCTACGCTGACAAAGTTTCATCGAATTTATTAATATCTGGCACTAAAACATCACATTGTAATGAAGTTGAAAAAAGTATATCGTCAAAGTTACTTGAGAAGTCAAGCGATTTAATTATTGACGTAAATAATCAAAATTTCAACCCTGGAAACCTGTGGTCAGATGCCGAAAAAACACCAGTGGATGATGGGTTTAGAGAGTACATTTCCAGAAATAAAAAAAGAGCCAGACTAAACAACTCATCTGAAGATAATAATGAAATGAAATCAAGTGGTACCACCAGTAACTCAGGCAATGTTAACGCATCCATTCCAAAACCAATTAAAAAAATTATTGGCATCAAAGTAATCGATAACTGCAAACTTCAGGCTAAAAAAAACCTTATAAGAAAGACCGTTTTCTTGATGAGCAACGTAAAAAGATGTCACAGAAATGATGTCATAGATTTTCTTAAAACAAGTGGTATAAACGTTATCTCTTGTTTTCCGGTGATAAAACGTTCTAATCAGGATAAAAGCGATCCAGTAAACAAGGATGAGGAAGAATCAACGATGTTTCGTGTATGTGTCGAAAGTTGCGATGAACCGAAGATGAAGGACCCGGAAATTATGTTAAAACACATCATTGTACGCGAATGGCGTTTCGGGAAAAACACCGACAAAAACTCCGATACGACGAACAAACATGGCTGACAAAAATTCGTTAAATACTGTTAACGACACTCACAGCAATGTCGTAAATAAAACCTGCAGACTATATGACGATATAAATCAAATAAATGCTTTGTATAACTCCATCAGCGACAACGGAATTAACGACAATTTGTTTTTCAAACTAATGCATTTAAACATTAGAAGTTTAGTTCACAAATCAGAAGACTTACTCGATTATTTAAACAACTTTTCTTTTAAATATAACATTATTGGTATAAGTGAAACGTGGCTAAATGATGACAATATCAAGTTAATAAATATTACTGGTTATGATTTTGTCGGTAAAAATCTGTCTGGTAAGCACGGTGGTAGAATCGGTTTGTATATTGATAACGATATTAAGTATTAAACAAGAGACGACATCAATAGCATTAGCAGCATAGAATTATTCAGCATAGAAATAACAAACGATTGTTCCAATAAAAATGCAATAATTGTAATAACATATCGGCCTCCTACCTATGACGCAAATATGTATCTTCAACAAATCGAACAGGTACTACAAATCATAAGTCTAGAGAACAAATTAGTTTATCTGATCGGTGATATGAACATCAATTTACTTGATGCTGATTCAAATGCCAGCAAATTCCAACTTCAACAATTATTAACATCATACAACCTATCAACTTTAATAACAACCCCAACTAGAATAAGTTTAAATAAAAATTCAGTCATTGATAACATTTTCACGAGCGAACCAAATGCAGTAGAATCATGTGGTACACAGGTATGTGATTTTTCGAACCACCTACCAATTTTTATAATTGTAAATATGAAGTCTAACAGAATCAAGAACCATTTTCTGAAGGAGAAATTATACTCGTTTACAAGTGAACGAATCAACAGACAGAACGAATATTTAATAAACATGGACTGGTCAAACGTTTTAAACTGTGAGGATGTAAATGTCGGGTTTCAACGATTCATAGAGATTTTTGTAAAGAACTTCAACGAATGCTGCGTATTTCATCAGTAAGAAAAATTAAAAAAATATCACGTGATAAACCTTGGATAACCGATGATCTTAAAATAATGTTAAATAGAAAAACCAAACTGTATACAAAATATCTAAAAAATCCGAATATTGAAAATCTAATTGAATTAAAGTCAATTAGACAATCTTGCATCAAATTTAAAAATAAACTAAAAAAAACAATATTATAGCGACATCATAGTAAAGAACATAAAAGATAACAGAAGAACGTGGTCGATTATTAAGAACCTTATCAGCACAAACAAAATCACCAATACCGTCACATCAAACAGTGAAATTGTTCGTTCTCCTGCGAACGCCTTAAACGATTATTTCATCGGTATAGCTATAAAACTAGGTTCATCTTTCAAAAATTCAACACTCTGGAAAAATCACCTCACTAATAAACTTCAAAACTCGTTCTTCTGTCTGTCGACCTCAAGCGATGAAATAATTGCAACAACCAGACTTCTCAAACCAAAAACAACCAGTGGATGGGATGGCATTCCTATGAAAATAATAAAATCTTCCATACATTCAACAGCTCACATTTTGGAATTCCTAATTAACCTTTCTTTCAACTCCGGCACATTCCCACGATGTTTCAAAGTCTCAAAAATTGTACCGATTAAAAAGGATGAGGGATGCAATGATTTAACTAATTTTCGACCCGTTGCTCTTTTATCAAATTTTTCGAAAATAATAGAAAAAATAATTTACAAAAGGCTAAATATCTTCTTTAAAAAAAATTCCATAATTAACGATTCACAATTTGGATTTCGAGAGAAGTACTCGACTGAGCTGACAATAATAGAATTGATCATAAAAATAGGGATCGCAGCAGAAGACAAAAAATACATCGTAGGCACGTGCCTTGATCTCTCGAAGACATTCGATTGCATCAACCACAACATTTTGCTGGCGAAACTAGACTATTATGGAATACGTGGCTCGCAACTGAAATGGTTCAGAAGTTACTTATCGGAGAGAAGTCAATTTGTTAGCTGGCAAGGTACATGCTCGAGCGAAAAATTAAACCAAATTGGAGTACCTCAGGGCAGCATTTTGGGACCATTGCTATTCATTGTCTTCATCAACGATCTCCCGAAAATTTCAACATTCTTTGATTACATTTACTTCGCAGATGACACTAATCTATTCAGTACAGGCAAAAACATCGATGAACTCATTTTGAAGACTAATAGTGAAATTAAAAAGGTCATCTCATGGTTTGAATGTAATGTGTTGACATTGAATAGCAGAAAAACACAAATGATTATTTTTGGCTCAGTCCAATATTTAAACTACAAGAAGCCATATAAGATCGTAATAAATAATTCGGATATTCTCGAAAGCAAAACTGTTAAATTTTTAGGAGTAATATTGGATCAAAAATTATCGTTTCAACAACATGTTCGATATGTTTGCACAAAACTAGCAAGATCAATTGGTCTATTAAATAAAATAAAATTTTTCTTGTCTAAAAGAATTCTTAACATGCTATATAAAGCCATCTGTACTCCATATATCTCATACTGCAATACAGTCTGGACAAGCGCCTGCTTATCCAACTACAACAAATCCAATAAGAATAATCATGAAGAGAGCGATGCGAACAATCACACTTTCCAAAGCTCAATCCCATTCACAACAGCTATTCGCCACGACAAGCAATCTGACTTTCGATCAAATGAGTACATATCACGCGGCAAAATTCATCGACAAACAATTGACTGGTAAACTACCTCCGATTTTTGACGGTTATTATAAACGAACGAAGAATCAAAGGCGCATCAATTTCATCTGTTCCAACAAATCAAAAACGAAAATTTTACATCAACACATCATTTGCAGAGGACCCAGAATTTGGAATTTTTTATTAAATAAAGGATTTAATTATGACAGATCGAACATGCAGAACTTTAACCATCATTTGAAAGCATTTATTAATTTGATTAATTAAAATCACTAGTTTTAAGAATATAAATTACATTTTTATAAAATATTTATGACATCATGTATGCTCAGTTGTATGTATGTGTGTGTGCTGACGTATACGTAGATATTTGTATATACGTATGTGATCCTATTCTCTTCTATCTATAGCTTATATAGATAGATTCAATCAGGTATTCTATACGCAGTTTTGTATCTAGAGAAATATAGACCTAACTTATTATTAGGATCAATTAGTAACATCTCAAAGCTAATACATTCCATTTAGAGAATCTGAAGTTTTTTGTGGTGCACGATGATAATATTTTTATGAACAGTTAGTAACACCGTAAATATAATATACTCCAATTAGAGAATCTGAAGTTTTTTGTGGTACTCAATAATTTTATTTTTACGAACAACTAGTAACACCGTAAATGTAATATATAACATTTAGAGATTCTGAAGTTTTTTGTTTGATGGCTGTGCCCGATGATTTTGTTTTTGTGATCAATTAGTAACATCTGAAGGTTAACCTATTTCATTTAGAGATTCTAAAGTTTTTGGTTTAGGTTGCTGTGCTCGATGAGTTTTATACTAACTCCTCACAGTCAACCTGCACCTCATTTTCTTTATTGAGGTCAAATAAATTATTTCGTTTCGTTTCGTATGTATGTATGTATGTATGTATGCCCTATATTAGGCAGCTTAGTATGTCGGTCGATGATATTCAACGATTGATCAATTAAGAACACAAACACGAGTCAGCAGTTGGGTGTGTGCGTGTTATCTCTCATCATCTACGAACAATTAAGTCTTCGTGTTTGTTGCAGGCTGCTTTGTCAAGCTACATTTATTCCTGTGAACATTCATCATCATCAGCATTATCATCGTCGTCGTCATCATCATCACCACCATTCTCATCATCATCACCACCATCATCATCATCACCACCATCATCATCATCACCACCATCATCATTATCATCATCATCATCAACATCATTATCATCATCATCATCAACATCATTATCATCATCATCATCAACATCATTATCATCATCATCATCACCATTCATAATTTTGTTAAGTTTAATCGCCGTTAAACGTTGTTATTAGCTCAGCGATCATTATTATTATTATTATTATTATTGTTTATTATTATTGTTGTTATTATTATTATTGTTAATGTTATTATTATTATTGTTGTTGTTGTTATTATTATTATTATTATTATATTTTGTTCTAAACTTCCATCTCCACGAGCCGCATTCAAGTAAGTGCCAATCGTCCCTCGTTATTCTTGTTATTTTTATCATTCATTATGATTATTTAATTGTTATTATTTTTATTATTATTATTGTCGTTTGTTATTATTATTATCATCACCATCGTTGTTGTTGCTGTTATTGTTGTTGTTGTTATTCTTAGGGTGTCTTGTCCCTGTTTTAAGAGCAATTAAGTTAATTTCTGCCATGCAATTAGCGAGGAACATCGACACATGCAGAGAAGAACGCACTTTTAAACTACATCCCAATACATCTACATTATTAACTTAACAACATACAACGACAACATCAACAACAACAACAACAACAACGACGACAACAACAACAACATCAACAACAACAACAACAACAAAAACAACAAAAACAACAACAACATCAACAACAACATCAACAACGACGACAACAACAACAACATCAACAACGACGACAACAACAACATCAACATCAACAACAACATCAACAACAGCAACAACGACAACATCAACAACAACAACAACAACAACAACAACATCAACAACAGCAACATCAGCTCACATTTGAGTAAGAACAATTTCATCTGATCGCCATCAACTTCTCATCTATAATGTAACTGCAAAACTACAAATCACATATTCATCCAATCATTCATTTATTTGTTCGTTCGTTCGTTCGTTCGTTCGTTCGTTCGTTCGTATGTTCATTATTCATTCATTTGTACTTTATTTTATACTTATTTGTTTATTCATTCATTCAATTGTCTTCATTCATTTAATCAATCATCTTTTCATTCATTTATCAATT